TACCAAACAAGCACTAGATTAGAAATAGAACGTTTGACTCGGACAATACTGAATCCATCTCGCCTCAAGTGGTTACATCCCACAATTTAGCTTTCATCATCTTAAAATAGGGATAGATATATGGAATGAGCTAATGCCCAGTAAGCAAGCTGCATGCATATGATGCATAGTTATGACTTATGATATGCATATGCATCACTTGAAATAAATAATTTTTTATTATGTATCTCATTTCTTTAAAAATATTAACATTGTGAGCTTAATTTAGTGTACCGCCCAATCAACCAGAATGCAATGGATAATTATTATTTGGAACCTGATTCGTCTGTCGATAGTATCATAAAGTGGTTAACGTTAACATTAAACATTGGTTGGGTGCGTTGGTCCCCATGTCCCATTTCTCACTCACACCTTTCATGACATAAACATACACCACGTAATAGAAGAATTTGGGATACACATCTTTTTAAAATATTCCTTAACTCATTAACATTCTTATTTTCTTATATGCAAAAAGGTGACTAATTAGACATAATTAATAATTTAATACTAATTATCTACGAGATCCGTCCTTTATTCCCATTAACTTATTTAAACTCTATATTAATTTTATTAATTTATTAATTCCTATTATGTCATCCAATTATTATTTTTAAATTAATTTATCCAAAATATACTTTAAACAAAAGAAATCTCTCATCACGTAGTAAAATGTATTCTATAATTTAGGTCATTTTTCAGCCCCATTATTTCCGCATTAAAATGAAAAATATGTTCGTTATCCATCATATCAAATTATCATATTTGACTTTTTATCTTTTGCGTGGGATCTATAACAACTATATTTTTCATTCTCATTTTTACAATAATGTGGTTTAAATGGAGCTTAATCTATCATTAATAAAATTATAGCTATATTAAATTTAAATTAATGACACGTCGATTGTTTGGTTGTCTAAGGTTTCCACTGAAAAAAAAATAGATTTAAGCCTCAAGTACGTGCTATTTTTCACAAAATTCATGTAGGTTACCGTCGTGGCAATATCATGTCCGCTTGTTCTCCTCCTTATCTTTTCTTCTTTCAATGAAAATTGGTTAAGCTTTGTTCCTGTAAGTGTTCTGTGAATTTTTATTTTTTATTTATTATTATTATTATTATTATTATTTTTTGGGTATGTGTAGCAGACTTAAAAATATATAATTAATCACAGCAAAGATATTCACATTTATTAAATAGTAAATTTAATATTAATAATAATCAAGACAAACATGATAATAACAAAAAATAAGCCTCCGTTGTTACAAACATATTTTTATTTAATTTTATGTTTATTTAAGCAAATTTACATAAGGTTAAAAATATAATTTCATTTCATTTTTATGGAGAGAATTTTAAAAAAATACGTAAGGGTATATAATTAGCGAAACAATTTTTATTAACTGCACCATATTATAATTACAATATAGGTCCTTAATTTATTCTCATTCTATCATTTATATCCTTAACTCCTTCTTCGTATTTTAATCTCAACCTTATTTTAATTAGCTCATCTTGTTATTAACGATGACAAAAAAAAAATAATAATAAAGAAGAAAAGAAAAGAAAAGAAAAAAGTTAGAATGGAGTAAGAAGACATATCTACCTTTGTAATTTTGAATATCCAAGATAAACAGTAAATACATAAATTTTAATCATACATGTTCGTAGAAGGAAAAAGGAAAAAAAAATTGAACAAAATCATTTTTTTTTTTTGTAAAAGTCATCCAAAATTTCGTGATTAATAAGAGACAAATTTTAAGATTTTATATGAGTATTTTTTACTTAAAACTTAGTACTCCAGAAAGACTCTAGAAATAATTAAAATTTAAATTCCCCAAAATTTATAGAAAGTTTCAAATTTTTTAAAAGTATATAAAAGTCTCAATTTAATTGAGTACATCGTAAATTTTAGAGAGTTTAAAAAAGTCTCAATTAAATACTTCTAAATTTTTTAAATCCCATAAAATCATTAAGGGTGTATCTGATTACATTTATTTTCCATGAAAAATATTAATTTTCCATCTAAATTTTTAGTTGGAGTGTTTGATTGCTATTTTTTTCCATGGAAAATATTTTCTAATTTTTAAAAATATACTTAATTTTTCTTGTTTTTAAGGAAAATATTTTCCTTGGGTAGAAGTGATTTTTATTTTACACAAAAAATAAAAAATATTTTCTTTTGTAAGTGATATTTTTCATGCCAATCAAACAGACTCAGTCTTGATTGAATGTGGTTAACAAAAAACTTATTGCGTCAATATTTCCCTACACGAAAACAGTCCAGGACCTTCACACCCATCCGACTTCCTTTCAACCATTGTAATGACACAGTTAACCCCCCTTGTTCGTTAAATAAGCAACGACATCCTGCTTTTTGAGATTCGTCGGTGCATCCATTCAAGACTCTACGTCAGATCTCGCGCCATTTCTCAGATCCGATTTCCCCAATTTCTGTAAGAAATTTACCCATCCAATTTCCCCGACATATGATTGCCAGATTGAATTTCCGGTTTTAATTTCTGCAATTCAATTCATTTTCATTATTTTGGTTTCAATATTAATTTGATGAATCGTTCATTTTTATGTTGGGTATTGTTAAGAGATTGGAGTATTAGAGTGTTGGGTTCAAGGTTTGTCGTAAAGACGTTAAAAACTGATTTTTAATTTGATTGCGGATTTTATTTGAAATTGAATTGATGTACCATTCATTAAATGGATCCACCGGAAATTCTCACTGCTAAGATTATTTAATATATTTTCGAATGGATATTTTGGAAGAAATAGTTACTGATTTCTGTTTTCAGAAACTTTTGAGCTGAATTGAATGTTATTAAATTTTTTTTTTTGGTCAATCCATATAATCATGAATATATAACTTTTTCTATAAGGCTATCACGATAAAATTACTTTAATTTTCAAATAAACACTTTGCTGATCTTTGGTATTGTTAAGAGATTGGAGTATTAGAGTGTTGGGTTCAAGGTTTGTCGTAAAGACGTTAAAAACTGATTTTTAATTTGATTGCGGATTTTATTTGAAATTGAATTGATGTACCATTCATTAAATGGATCCACCGGAAATTCTCACTGCTAAGATTATTTAATATATTTTCGAATGGATATTTTGGAAGAAATAGTTACTGATTTCTGTTTTCAGAAACTTTTGAGCTGAATTGAATGTTATTAAATTTTTTTTTTGGTCAATCCATATAATCATGAATATATAACTTTTTCTATAAGGCTATCACGATAAAATTACTTTAATTTTCAAATAAACACTTTGCTGATCTTCGAAGACATGGGAACTTAAAATTGAAATTTGAATTTGTTAGAAAAAATCAATTTGAATTTCAACTGATTTACTTTAAATGCAATAATTTAAAAGCACTTATTCCAATCTCTAACACCAGTTCCTGGTGCCAATTATTGAATTGAGTTCATAGTTATGTTTTTCAAATCGATATTCAAGATTTGTTTGCTGAAAATTATTTTGGTTAATAAATGTTCACAAAACAGAAAATGCGTGACATGTATTTATATGTGGGGAAGTCTTGTTAAGAATGTGCTGTTGACAATCTCTGCTAGGTGGTCAGGTTTTATTTGGTACTCTTTATATACCATGTTTTTCTTCAAAAAAAAAAAAAAAGGAGTTATTGGGATCTATCTATTGAACAATCAGTTTCTTTTTTGATCCTCTTCCAGTCATCTGATTGCTCCAATGACACCTTGCAATTAAATCATATATCAGTAATTATCTTTTTGGGGTGATTCCTGTGGTGATACTCTTGTATCTCTTATGACGTGTTTTACTTTTAAGTTTGTCTGTTTTCTATTTTGTCCTACTTAAGCATAATCTGTTATTGTTAACATAGTAGTAGGAAGAAAGATGTATTTTCATATATCATAGTAGTACAAATACATTGTGCGTAGACTGGACTATTTAAAGACTAAATAGTAACCAAAAAGTTGCGTATATGAGATGAAGATAAGTGATGATAAGGCACAAATTTGGTTTTGGGATGTTGAGTACAAGTCCTAGATAATTTTCCAAGGGCAATAGCAAGATCAATAAAATTAATTCTATTAGGTAAAGAAGAAACAATAGTACCTTCTCTGGCCAGAATTATGACATTGATAGAGAGAAGCTTGATTGTTCCGCCTGGAATACACGTGTTCAATCGAGTTATTAGAATTATTTTGTGGAACCAAGGCCATGGTTCAATAAAAAATCTGGGTAAAACTGTTGGACCAATAGAAGAGGTTGGTGACCAGAAAACTCAATTTGTACTGGAGAAATTTTCTAAAACAATTTTTTACACAAGTAAATTTTTAACCTATAAGTAATATTTTTACACAAAAGTGATTTTTTATCTTATAAGTATTTTTTATCTTATACTTTTAAATAATTTTTACGAATAAGTAAATTTTCAACTCATATAATACTTTTATATCTTATAAGTGAATTTTTTTTCTTATTGTCAGTATTTTTACGTTTTAAATAATTTTCTTACACAAAGTGAAAGTTTTCAATTATGAAGTAATTTAGTTAATGTATTTGTATTTACAAATTAGTTCTGAAAAAAATATGCTCGTTTTGCAGAGGAGGGGTGAGTTTAAACCGTCTAAAATCAGTGCCCAAAAAACTTATAGGCACCAATTTTCTCAACTTATCATGAACAGTGCCACCTAAAACTGGTGGAAAAAAACTTAGAAGCAGGCCCTAAGTAGATACACCCAACAAAGACTTGTGTGATCATCTGTAAAGGTAATTAACCATCGAGTACAAAAATATTTGTCACAAGGGAAGTACCCCAAATGTTACTATGAATAAGAGTAAAAGGTGCCGATTCTTTATACAAATTTGGTAGAAAATGAGCTCTATGACGCTTTTCAAATTCACAAAATTCACATTTCAAATTGGGCAGATGTTTATTATGAAATAATGAAGGAGATAATTGTTTTAGATAAAGAAGACTCAGATTTCCTAACATGAAGTGCGACAAAAGAATTTCATATTCACTAGATTGAGTATAACTATTGATCACAACTTGAGCTTGTTCATCCAACATGATCTCCTCTTCAAAATAGTAAGATCCATTCTCTTCTCTAGCTCCACCAATCATCTTTCCTGAATTCAAGTCTTGAAATTCACAGAGTGGGAATTTTTTTTAGCTATATAGTTATTCTCTTTCATAAATCGACTTATGGAGAAAAGATTACAAGATATCCTTGGAACATGGAGTACGGAATCTGAACAAAGATTTTTTGAAATAAAAAACTCAACCGTTACGAGCATCCGGAGACCACGAACCATCTGCTGTCTTAATATTTTGCTTACTAGAACGTGGGTGATGCGGACATCATCCATATCAGGCCATTTGTTGGGCCATTTTACCTTCCATTTATTTAATTTAGGTTTTATGTTTTATTGGGCTTGTATATGGGTTGGCCCAAGTCCAAGTTTATTTTTTTGTTATTTATGATTGTAAATTGGGATTGAAAGATTAGTTTGATGAATGAAAGATATTTTCGTAGGTTGTGATCACGTCTCTCTCCTCTCCCCCAGTTTCCCCTCTCCTCCTCTTCTTCTTCTTCTTCCTTCTGATTGATTCTACATCAACTTGATATTAGAGCCAAAGCCTGTAATTGTGTAGTCCCATTCATCCATCTGCCGATCAATGCTCTTGCCACCAGCAAGTAGATCTCGAGATGCTACTTAATCAATGTCCCAGAGCACCTTCACTTCCCGGCATCTTTCCAGCACTTCCACAAAACCACCACCAGTCGTCCATTAACATAACATAATCAAAGCCGAATATTTGCAACAGCCAACATCAACAATTCAAGTTGTTCCTAGCAGCAGTAACCACCGCCTTCTACCTGTAACTGCCACCACCGACCTACAACCTCCTATACTTCTCCCAGCCACATTCTTCCAATAGTCATTTACACGCACACAAAAAAAAGAAGAGCAGAAGAGAGGAGAGGGGAAACTGGGGGAGAGGAGAGAGACGTGATCACAACCCACAAAAATATCTTTCATTCATCAAACTGATTTTTCAATCCCAATTTACAATCATAAATAACAAAATAATAAACTTGGGCTTGGGCCAACCCATATACAAGTCCAATGAAACATAAAGCCTAAATTAAATAAATGGAAGGTAAAATGTGAATAAATGTTCTTTCTTTACGGATATAGTTGTGTTTCTCGGATTCGTTGTTTCCGTTGCAAAGATTCGGGCAATTGTTGAGTGGCCTGACCCCAATAATATACATGATGTTAGGAGTTTTTATGGTTTAGCTATCTTTTATCGTCGTTTCATCAAGGGGTTTAGTACGATTATGGCTCCTATCACAGAGTGTATGAAGAGAGGAGAATTTCATTGGACGCAGGAAGTGGCTAAGGCCTTTCAGTTAATCAAAAAGCGAATGACAGAGGCTCCTGTTATGCGACTCCCAGATTTTTCCAAAGTTTTTGAGGTCGAATGTGATGCGTCAAGGGTAGGAATAGGTGGAGTCTTGAGTCAAGAACGCTACCCTATTGCTTATTTTAGTGAGAAATTAAATGATGCCAAGCAATGGTACTCGACTTATGATAAGGAGTTGTATGCATTTGTACAAGCCTTGCGCTATTGACGTCAGTACTTTTAACCCACGACTTCGACCTCTTTTCGGACCATGAGGCCCTTCGTTTCCTTAATTTCTAGAGACGATTGAATTCTAGACATGGCCGTTTGATCGAATATTTGCAAGTCTATTCTTTTGTCTTAAAGCATAAAAAGGGTGTTGAAAATCGAGCTGCTGACGCTTTAAGCTGTCGCATCTCCTTGTTGTCCATCATGAGTGTTAAGGTCATAGGATTTGAAAGACTTAAGGAAGAATACGAATCATGTCCCGATTTCAGAGACATTTTTCTTGCTTTGCAAAATGGGGAGTTGGACACCACCGATGGTTTCCGTTTGGAGGAGGGCTATCTTTTTAGAATCAATAAGTTGTGCATCCCAAGGACTTTAGTGCGAGATTTTACAGTGTGGGAAAATCATGTTGGCGAGTTGGCCGGACATTTTGGGCGTGATAAGACCATAGAGGAGATTGAACGTCAATTATATTAGCCCAGTTTAAAGACAGACGTGGCCAAGATTGTTGCTACATGTAACACCTGTCAGCGATCTGAGCAAAAGAAGCAGAATACGAGTCTCTACATGCCTCTTCTTATCCCTAATTGTTCTTGGCAAGATGTTAGTATGGATTTTGTGCTAGGATTGCCACGTACTCCAAAGAAATACGACTCCATTTTCGTTGTAGTAGATCGTTTCTCGAAAATGACGCACTTTATTCCCTGTAACAAAACCTCCGATGCATCTGACGTTGCTAAGTTATACTTTCATGAGATCGTCAAGCTGTATGACCTCCCTAAGACCATTGTCTCAGATAGTGATGTTCGTTTCACTAGCCATTTTTTGCGAACCCTATGGAGTATGTTGGCACTAAACTGAAATTCTCTACTGCATATCACCCACAAATGGACGGTCAAACTGAAATTGTTAACTGCAATCTTGATAATCTATTAAGGTGTCTAGTCCAGGAAAATCTTAGAAATTAGGACTTAATTCTTCCTACTGCCCAACTTGCATGTATTAGTTCAGTGAATCGGTCTATAGGTATAAATCCTTTTGAGGTTGTTCATGGTTTTAAACCTAGGAAGCCGTTAGACCTTCTTCCCAAGTCTCTACATGCTAGTGAGTCTTTTGCACAACATATGCGTGACTTGCATATTGAGATCAATAAACAACTGGAAGCAAGTAATGCATTTTATAAACTTCGAGCTGATTTGCACAAATGCCACGTTGAATTTACTGTTGAAGATTATGTTAAGATTCGAATTAGGCCGGAACGTCGTCCATCCGTGCCTGCTTTCAAATTACAAGCTCGTAGTGCTAGTCTTTTTAAAATTTTAAAGCGTGTTGATCCAAATGCATATGTCATTGACTTATCTTCACATTTTGGCTACCACTTTACCTTTAATGTTGAGGACTTAGTTGCTTACAAAGGCCAATTTTACCCCACTGATGATCCTTTCACGCTTCCATCTGTGGACCATGATCCTGAACATGTTATCTTTGCCCCGATTCCAGCTGTTGCAGCACATAAAGATAAAATTGATATTATTCTAGATGCACAGACCATATTAACCAAGGATGGAGACATTCAATGTTTCCTTGTTCGTTGGGAGTGTCGTCCTGATTCTGATTGTACTTGAATCTCTAAAGAGACACTTCTGCAGCTTGATCCTGATTTGTTGGAGCATTATAAGAGTCAACAAGATCTTTCTTTGCCCGGACCACCACCCTTACGTGTCTACAGACGTCGAAAGAAGTTTGCTTAACCACTCAGTTTGTGGTTGAGAAATTGACAGCAGCCTTTTTGTGATCTCCCTATTCAACAGGGTCGAGTTTTTCTCCCACCCCGGTAGAGTTGATGCAGACATTATTCTCATCAGGCCATTTGTTGGGCATTTTACGTTCCATTTATTTAATTTAGGCTTTATGTTTCATTGGGCTTGTATATGGGTTGGCCCAAGCTCAAATTTATTATTTTGTTATTTATGATTGTAAATTGGGACTGAAAGATCAGTTTGATGAATGAAAGATATTTTTGTGGGTTGTGATCGTGTCTCTCTCCTCTCCCCCAGTTTCCCCTCTTCTTCTTCTTCTTCTTCCTCCTCCTCCTCCTCCTCCTCCTCCTCCTGATTGATTCTACATCAATGGGGTATAAGTGGAAAGGAAGTATCATTTGATTGGGTACTCCAAAATCAATCATCCATGGAGTTCAAGAATGTGTTTGAGATTTTAAAGCTACGGAAAAACTACCTGTTGGGCAACATGTCAAGGGGAATCAGGAACTGACTTATCCTTTAGATGACCTAGAAAATCATGCAGAAGCTCTATTTGTTTTGTGGGGCCTATAATTTTGAATATGCTGATTGTACTCACTTGAAACGTGATTTTCTCCTTTTCAGGCATCTTTGCAGTACCAAAGAGAGATCTAAATTTTTCTTGCCCTGCATGACCAATTTCACTGATTGGGCCAATCAAGAAAAAATTCCCATTCAGTTTATGAGTAGTGATTTGCAAAGGATAACTCTCATAGCTGAATTACTTTGCAGCTTTAGGATTATGTTTTGTACTTACACTGGACATCTTTTCTCCCAAAATACAATTGATGACTAAAGTAGAAAAAATATATTAAATGAGAACTCCAAGAATCAGAGTTGGCTCTGATATCATGTTGACATGGTAGGAAGAAAGCTGTATTTTTATATATTAGAGAAGTTAAAACTCACTGTGTGTATGGTGGACTGTATAAAAGACTAAACAATTACAATCTATCTAAGAATCTGATAACAAATACTGCAGAATTTTATATCCTACAATACAGGATTTATCCTAACAACTGACTCCTAAAAGATAGCACATAATAACCACCTATGCTAAAAGTTATTTGTTCGCCCATTAGCTTTGGGACATGTAGCAGTACAATGTTGATTTATCTATCCATATATTCTTGTGAGATTTAATCATTATTGCACAAATACCGATTTTTTACTTAATTCCCGAACTAACAAAGTTTATTGTGCAGCAAGAGAGTAACTATGGGAGTCGACACTCAAGGTTGGCGTTTGGAATTAAACTATGACCAATGGGTAGCACTCCCTGTATCTGGTCAGCGGCCTGCTGCTCGTTACAAGGTGCTGTTCATTTACAAATTAAATTCTATCACCTATCTAAAGTCTCGCATTGTTTTGTCACTTTCTATCTGCTTTGATCAGTGAGATAAGACTGCTGCATGATATGTTCTGATTTCCCCTTTTCACTTTTCATCAATGCTCGCTCTGTACACATTATGTTTGAAAACTTGCTTCCAATGCAATGCAGCATGCTGCTGCTGTTGTTGATGGCAAGTTATACATCATCGGCGGAAGTCGTAATGGTCGATACTTATCTGATGTTCAGGTATTGTCTATTCTTGTCCTGTCAAAGTCCATTTTATCCTTCATATTTTACAAATTCACTGGAGCATCTGTAGGTTTTTGATCTCAAAAATTTGACATGGTCGACCATGAAACTGAACACGGAAGCAACTACTGTGAAAGTCAAAGATGGTACACAACTTGATGTTTTTCCTGCGACTGCTGGTCACAGCGTGGTATGCTATTGCTCAGAATTATTGTATCTCTCTGCTGGTTTACTCTTCTGATGCTTTATTTGTCATTTGCTTCAAGAATTCTATTGTCCTTTTTTGAACTGGCAATTCATTTCTGACCCTACTCAATTTAGTGTTTTATTTTGCAAATTTTTGTAATTTATTAGTTAATTGATATAGAGATGATGCCATATCTCCAGATTAAGTGGGGAAATAGACTACTTCTTCTTGCTGGTCTATCAAAGAATGCTTCTGACAACGTAACAGGTTTGTTCCCTATGGATTCATCTTGCTTCTGGGGGAAGAAAACACTTATTATAAATTATTTGACCCTTCTAGATCCTGCAAGAAGACCTATTCGTTCTTTATTCATTTGTTTTTGGCTCAAATCTAGATATTTTATTGAATCTCTGCTTTTCTTGTGGTATGTAGTGCGGTTCATTGATCTTGAATCAAACAGTTGTGGTGTCATGGAAACTTATGGAAATTTTCCGGTAGTTCACAGATTCATTGATTCCTTATTCATCATTTTTTGAGTTATGTCCTTGTTGGAAATTTAATGTTTCAGGAGAACAGAAATTTGATAGTGTCTCCATTATTTTGTATTTATGCAGATATATTTCAAGCTTAATGATGTAATTTTATTGGTTTTTTTATGTTGTTTAATTAGGTAGCTCGCAGTGGCCAATCTGTAACTCTGGTTGGTTCCAAACTTATTATGTTTGGCGGAGAAGACAGGAATAGACGGCTGCTGAACGATGTCCATGTTCTTGACCTGGCAACAATGTCATGGAGTGCTGTTGAGACTTCGTACGTGTACATTTGCACACAACGAATTTCATAATTTTGAAGATGTTCTTAGCATTTTGTTATACATTGATAGGCAGACATCTCCAACACCCAGATTTGATCATACAGCTGCAGTGAATGCTGAGCGCTACCTCCTTATTTTTGGTGGATGCTCTCATTCAATTTTTTACAATGACCTGCATGTGTTAGACCTGGAAACGGTAAGCTTCTCCTCTTTGTCCACCTTTTCCATTCCCTAAGCATATTCCTTGTACATTTAATTCTAATATGACAATGAAGTTTTATTTGAAGTCAATATGCCTTTTTTGCTTTTGGATGATTAGGGAAAAAAAAATCATTACTGGCTCTATTCTTGCCCCCTTTTTACTCTCTTCTCCTCTTCCCTTGTCTTTCTTTTTCTTTACTGTTCTATGTAAACTAGTCCTACCAGATTATGTGAAAATTGATGGAACTAGAGAAAGATTTCAAATATGATGCTGATTTGCTTAAGTTCCTTCTCTTATTGTAAGCTTGCTGGGGATACTTTATTTTTGAATTATAAGAGTTTACAATTAATCAAAATTGTCGCTTTAATCCCTCTTCCAAGTTACAGTTTTATGAGTTCTCTGTCAGACCTGATACTAAGTTCTCTCTAAAGTTTTGATTCTTTTTGGGCGCATTTTATAATTTCCTTATATTTGTTTGTATTATAGTGGACTTAAAACACAGACCTATATGAGAAGGAAAATTTCTTCATTGCATGAATGTTCTCCTATCTTATATTTTCTGAAACTACAAATGTTCACCATTTTCAATTGGCAAGATGAAACAGCAGTATTTTGATGTATAGTAAATGTATTGTTTTAATGCTTTGAAGATTGATTATTACATTGTTTCTGTATAATTGGGCAGATGGAGTGGTCCCAACCACAAATTCAGGGTGATTTGGTGACTCCAAGGGCTGGTCATGCTGGTGTTGCAATTGATGGAGATTGGTTTATAGTTGGTGGTGGAGATAATAAAAGTGGTAGGTGAAATAACTTTTCATGTGATGTTAAATTTCTTTCCCGGTGTTAGTTCATGCTCAACATGTCATTGATACTAGTTTGGATGATTGGCTCTTTCTGTTTGCAGGTGCCTTGGAAACCCTTGTGATAAATATGTCTAAGCTAGCTGTATCCAAGTTGATAAGTGTAAAGGAAAGAGATCCACTAGCTAGTGAGGTCACTACACTCCGTTTCATTTCCTATTACAAGAAACTGTTGGCAATAATGTGGTTATTTAAAGGTGTTTATATGTATGAACTCGAGCGGAATCTTAAGAAACTGTCTTGAGCTTTGCATTGCCTCCTACACCTGAAGAAGTTTAACGTGCTTACAGGATTTCTTTGTTGCTAATTTTCATCGGTAGAATGATAAACCTCTTAATGCATTTCTGAGCGTCCCACCCTTCCAACACACACAAATGTATTCTTTGCTGAATAGCTTGCAAATCAAATATTAAAATATAACTGATATTACAAAAGTAGTGAATTTGAGAGGAGATCCTTTTTCCCCCCTTTTCACAAAGAAAATAGATGCCCTCCGTTTTAGCTAAAAATGATCACCCCCACCCCCGAACAATCTCACTCTTCTGTCCGTAATCCTATTTTAATGCACATCCAGTTTAGGGATCAAAATACCTTTTTGCCTTTGTTCATTATGTTCTAAGTCACCCTACTAGAGCTCTCAGTAACACAGCCTAGATTCATCACTCGTGAGTCAATTTTTAGTTCTATTTTTTTCCCATTTCCAGATGAAAGAAAAGCCATCACTCACGTGTCAATTTTTAGATCTATTTTTTATAGATTCTTTTTTTTTAGTTCCATTTCCAGATGAAAGAAAAGTCTCTTGCGTTTTCATTTTATGAATGTGTTAGCTCATTATAGAGAAACTGAAACTAATGCTAAATTCTCCTCCAGAGAACTCAGCATCACCTCATGTTGATATATTGAATTCTCCTGTTCCCTGCCAGTAGTATTGTGTTGCTGATCATTACAGTATTTGTTATTTTCATTTACTAAATGGTTGTTTTCTCATGTGCTTTCATTTTGAAAATTAATGATATATAGTTCCATTCTGGATGAGTATAAATGAGTCAAACTAGGAATATTGTTAAATTTAATTTCTAAAAAAAGCTGCATTCAAACGAGATATACATTGTTCTATGTTAAAAGTCAAGCAGGAAATTAGTAATAGTTTTTATTTATTTCATCCAATGGAAGATATCAATAGGTGTAAAGAGTACGTCAAGGCTTGTTCTTATTCATTTTGAACAGTTATTTCAAGAGTTCGTTGCTAACTTGCATGTTTGGTGCGTCCACTATTTCCAAGATATTTGATTAATTTCACACCTTGAATGGAAGGATTCCCCCTTTTCTTGTTTGTCTGTTGCTTGTATACATTAGTCTGTGAGTGTTAGATTTTTCATCTACGATATGGAGGGAGGGAGTTGCTTCAATTGAAGTCTGCAATGTGATCAATTTTTTGTTTCTAGATCTGATTTTTAAGTACTACTGTGCATGACTTCTCTCTTTGCTTCCTGCTGCTGAATTACTCCCAAGTAAAATTGATGTCTACAATTTCTTGGCAACTATGAAAGTTACTTTTGGTTCTAACATCTCTTGAATTTTTCGTATGGTAAATTTTGGTTATCAGCTTATTTTTCAATATTATCTGCTGCCTGCTTAAATGTCTATAAGATATGCTTTCGACAATAAGTGATTATGATAAAATGGAGCTGCGAGTGGTTCCTGTGTCATTCCCTTGCAATATAATTTGTATTGCTTGAAATTCTTTTAATTTTGAACTCTATATCTGCACAGAAGTCTGATGTGTTACCATGAACAGGGAATCAGTGTTTCCTCAGCATTGCTAGATGGTGAGAAGTTTTTGGTTACATTTGGTGGCTACAATGGGAAATATTATAATGAGGTACAGTTTATCTTATTTTATGAGTATATCAACCTTCTTTATCATAATGAACTCTGCATAGATCCTGGAATCTACGCAATGTACATAGAATGACATGCATAGATTAGTTAATTCTACATGTAGAAGAAATCATCTTAGAATTAGCTGCCTCTCATAGGAAATGGAGACATTATTATGGGGATAAATGGAAACAATATCTTAAATTGTAGGACACTGGCAAGCTTATGATATAGAAATGAATTTATTTTGCTAGTGCAGGAAAGTGGACTATGTTTAGGATGTAGTTCTTTAGTCGTCATATTAATCATCGGCTCGCAGTTGCATGCTAGGTTTAATTATAGAAACAACAGGATGTAGCATGCGCAGTATATTCTATTACTTTCATAAAATGCTAAATTTAGTCTATGCCAGACTCTATTTATGCATCATCTTTATACGTTGCAAAGAGAAACTATAAGATAATGGTTTTGGTGGTAAAAACTCTCTTAATGACAATATAGCGAATTTTGTAGGGTAATTAAGATGGAAATGTTTATAATTGTTATAACTTATAGGTGCTCTTGATTCACATTGAGATATCCCAAATGTTCATTACTAACTTATTCCAAATGGTGACTTGAATGGCCTGGCCATAGTCAGTGTTATGTAAAAAAATGTGCCCCTGGCATCCTACTAATTGCTCATATAATGGCTCTAAATTATGCTTGTGAAAAAGACGATTGAAAATCCCTTCTTATCTCTTAAAAATGTGGTAGTATTTTTTCCAATCCAGGAGAACTAGTAGTACACTGGCTCCAGTTTTCTCTCTCTTGATAGTTTCTTTTGTTTTAGGGATCTTTCTATGTTTACGTGTGCCTCATTTTGCTCCCTCTGTGGGTGCAAAGACCATTTTCTGCTAAAATTTTAGTTCAGTTCGCCTACTTGTAATGGTGATCTCGGTTTTTCCATATATAGGTATTTGTAATGAGGCCCAAACCAAGGGACTTTTTACATCCCAAGATATTTCAATCACCAGCAGCTGCGGCGGCAGCGGCTTCTGTTACTGCTGCATATGCCTTGACAAAATCTGAAAAGTTAGACTTCCCTGAGAAAGAAGATCCAAATTTTAAGGTAATTCCAGTGGATACCTCTCAGCTGGATCTTTCAGTTGAACTTAATTCAATCACAGAAGAAAAGAAGGTAGCAGAAACATCACTTGTGGAAGTTATGGCAGAGAACTCTACTCTCAGGGCTAAGATTGAAGAAACAAACACAAATTATGCCGAGCTATCCAAGGTTTGTTTCTCAGAATAAACTGTTACTTCAGTTTCAGTATGAAATTATCACGGATGTCTTCATTTTCATTAACTGGTTTCAGGAACTACATTCAGTTCAAGCTCAACTTGCAGCGGAGAGATCAAGATGTGCTAAACTGGAGGTCCGACCTTACATTTTTTGAACCTCTTTAGATTTCTTTGAATATTTTTTTCTATGTTCCTGAATAGAAGTTTAAATTGTTTGTTTTTAAGTATCCCGTTTCCAGAAACTGCAAACAAAGGGTTAATTTTGATCCATCGTTGATGTGTAATGGCATCATCAGGCACAAATAGCAGAGGTACAGAAGATTTTGGAGTCAATGCCAGCAATAGAGGAAGAGGTTCACGCACTTAGGAGAGAAAAATCTGCTTTTGAACGTGAAATGGAGCTCGCTTCAACTGTCCAGAGACAGCGGTCTGGCGGCATTTGGAAGTGGGTCGCTGGCTAGATTGGCGTTGCCAGGAACCACTGAAGTTGCCCAGGTCAGTATCTTACTCTTGTTGTGAGCTAGGTTGCGTGAAAACTTGTAAACTATTAATGTTTCCAGAAACCTTATAGAACATTCGGAAACTCAAAGTAAGTTTCTAATTTTTTAATAAAACTTGGAAAATTTCCATATTGACTTTGTTAGATGAAGACTCGTGTCCAGAGCTCATGGAACCCGCAGCTGCTTTTGCGCCATCCTTTTGTGGGTTTTAAGGAACCAACCCAACAACAACAGTCCTCGGCTTTGAAAGCTTGAGAGCTTCAACTAAAAAAATTGATGTAATTGCAGGTTTATAACACTAATATTAGAAAAATTAATGAGTGAATAGAGCTTGTCGTTAAATAGATTTTTAAAATAAAATATTGAACTTATAAAAATAAATTATAAATTTTTACACATCTCCCACATTTTTTTCATGTCCTTTTTTTCCCCTCAAAAAATAACATTTCCACGTGTTTTTTTTTTTAAATTTCCGTACAATTTATGAGTTCAAATTTCTTGCCAAACAACTGGAATTTAATGTGCAGGTTTGGCATAATCTGGCAAGGGCACAGGCATTGTGGGGTTTTGGTCATTCAAGTGAAATGTTTCTTCTTTTTTGGACTTCATGCATTTGTATCATTCTGTGGGGTTAGTTTAGGTAACGGACAATAGAATGTTTTTCAATATGTCTTATTAATTGTTTCTTGCAGACTTCTAAATTCTCATATAACTGTAATCTACATTACTAAAATTTTACCCTTTTTTATGCTATTGAACAATTGACTCAATTTAAATGAGAATGAATCTGTTGATGGGCTGTTCTTGGACATGACATTTGGCAAGGCTATGCTTAAAAGTAGGGGTGAATACGGTTCGATTTGAACTGTTTATAACAAATTTTCAAGCCGAATCACTTAAAGCGGTTTGATTTTATTTTTTTTTATATCAAACCAAATCACTTTAATTTCTAACCAAATCAATTTAAACCACTTTTTTCGATTTTGTTCAGTTTAAAACCACGGTTTAACAAATTATAAAATAACACATAATGAATAAGTTAAATTATAAATATTAATATAAAATTTCACGTTAAAACAGAAATAGTATCACAAAAAATAGTACAAACCAAAATTCTATAATTTTAATAATTATAATGCAACAATACAATATAAATATTATTTTAATCGTGAACTCATTTATTATAGTTAAATAATATAAACAACTAATAAAAAAATAAATAGAAAGATCAAATAAGATAAAGCCTTCCATAACATTTCGTGAATAATCTAATGCTTCTACCTTATTTTTATATTAACGAATCACTATAAATTTTTAGTTAATATACAATCAATTTTTATTTATTTATTTATTTTTAAAATCACCGCCTTAACCATATTTGCACTCAAACAAATTCTAAAAGAATTAAGAATTCAATTACTAGTAAGGATTGCGGGCTAAATAATTATGAATATTTGAATAACTAACACAACTTTACCAATTTGGGGGATAACCTTTGTATTTATTTCTATTTAATTTTATCAAAATAATATGTCGAAAGACTCATTGGTCAAATTTTCAAAACAAACATTTATGTAATTACCAAATCATTCTAGCAGTCAATACTAAAATCTAGAAATTAAGTTAAAATATAAATAATTAATTGAGTAGCTTGATTAGAAAATTGAGACGCAAATAAAAATACCCGCTACGAATTTAAGGGAGTCATGCACAAATTAGAATAAGACAACACAATTACCAATAAAATATAATAAACAATTACTAAAAGTAAATTTTTTTTGGATAAATTGACCTGAAAATTTAGTCAAAATTTAAGAAAATTATTAGTTGAAGGAAAAGAAGTATATGAGTTGAATTAAAATCTAGATTTAATTGTCCATTCAATTGTAATGAGCGGTCAATGAATATGATTTAGCAGGAGTTGTTCAACACTTCACATAATTTGAGGATTTTATATTTACAATTGTGATGATTGATAGATATCTGAGTATGATTTAATTAATTAATTGAGATTGATAAGTATCTATTTATGTATTGAGTTTAATTTAGTTATGTCTAATATGGATGTATCATTTTAAGTGAGATGTGTTTAGTTTTAATTTGGTTGGATAAAATTTAAATTATAAAAATTCATAAGTCATGTATTAAGTATGGACAATTCAAAAATCAGATTTTAAGTATAAAAATACAAAAATCAAGTATTAACTTATTAATTAAAAATATTTATTAATTAAATATAATAAAGTCACAATTATATAATTAATGGTCATATGTACATAATTATAGGCCAAAACTTATTTAGGGGGTGTTTGAGCCACATTATTTTGATAATAATGCATTCTTGAATAGTGTATTGATGGAAAATGTGTGGTTAAAAAATAAGGAAATTTTTTTGATCTGCATGTATATTATTTTATTGAAAAATGTGTGATTGAAATGATCTCAAATCACTGTTTAAGAATGTATTTTTTTGAAATAATGTGGCTCAAACAGACCCTTACTGGTCACATATTATCATATTAATTGGTTACAGATTATTTTGAGGCCACAAATCAAAAATTTTATAGGTCAGATTTTATTTTATTAATTAAATATTTTAATGTCACAAATATACAATTCTTGATCACAGATGTGTATTTATAGATCACAATATTACATATTGTCAAATTAATTGATCACATATTATTTCATTGGTCACAAATTAAAAACATTATAGGTTACAGTTTATTTGTCGATCACGGATTTTCAAATTATTTGTTCACATTATTCTACTACCACTAGGCCACTTGCGACCACCCTCAGCCTGCTATCGCCACCACCAATACAACATCACTACAACATCGCCACCACCAATACAACATCACTACAACATCGCCACAAACAAAGCTGCCACCACTAAATCCAATCCATTGACAACAAAAATCACCACTACCACTATCAAATCTCCCACCACGAACAATCACCTCCACCACCAATCACTACACATTAACTATTTAATGTCATAAGGTCACAAATGCCCACTCCAATAGAAAGTACCACCACTACCACCGCCACCTTGCAACCCACCAACAATAACCTGCATCACTATCATCACAGCACTACCACTAAACAACCACCAACATCACTACCACCACCACCACCACCACTAAAAACAACCATTTGCAAAACTAAAAACAATCAAACCACCTACAACACAATAACAAAAAAATGAACACCACCATCGATCACACGCTGTACAAGAAGCTGCTACAGCGATGCTGTGCCGTTCGTGGTCATCCTGCAACTTCTCCGACACTACTAGTGGTATTGTGAAATGGCGATCACAACCAAACATTGGTGCATAGCAACACTTGGAGGCAATCGTAGTGAGCACTGCTCGACCACGATGACCATGTGCAAGGGAAAGGACAAAGACACAGAGGGAGAGAGAGAGAGAGAGAGAGAGAGATCTGGTGACGACGACCATGTGGAGGAAAGAAGAGAGAGAAAGAGAGCCGCTCACCGCGATCCGACAACGACGACCTTGTGGAGGAAAGAAGATAGAGAGACAGAGAGAGAGAAACTAGGGGAAGAATTGGGAGAAAATAATTTAGGGTTTTAATTGGGCGGATCAGATAAGGAAAGAGTATATAAATTAATTTATTAATATTATTATACATATTGAAAACTTGATTTTTGAATAAGTTAACTTTAAACCTTATTTTTGAAATCCAATCTTTAAACACTTGTATGGATGTAATTCAGCCTTTAAATTAATTTGTTTTTATTTTTTTCAAACGGGTTGGTGGTTTAAAATAGTTTGCAAAGATTGGAATCTAAATTAAACCACTTCGAACCGGTTTGGTTCAGTTCAAAATCAAAACGTTAATAAATCCCCCTGAATCCAAATCAACGATTCAAAAAAGTGATTTAGGTTCAATTTTACGGTTTTGTTATTCAGCACTACTTAAAAAACACATTTTAGAAAGTAAATTTTAGTTTATTATTTAGAAAAGAGTAACTCTAAAAATCATTTTTAAAAAATAAATAGCTTAAAAGTAAGTTTGACTTATTTTTATGCACATGTCATTAAGGATGTTCAATTTATGCACATGTCATTAAGGATGTTCAATTCGTTTGAGTTTCACCTCTTTTTTTTATTCTTCCTTTGCTTCGAAATACTTACTAGTTATTACCGAATTTTATGTGCACACAAAATAAGTATAAAAAATGAAAAACATAAAACCTTGACAAGTTCCAGTTTCTGCCCGTTTAACTGTAAAACCAAAAAAGAAGGGAAAAAAATTTAAAAAAATAAAGAAAGGGAAAATGCTAAAGAAAAAAAAAAAAAAACACGCGCAAATGAAAAACGAAAGGTGCTCAGAAGCGCCTCATTTTCATCTGACGGATCAGAGAAAGCGACGGACCCACCATCGCACTGGGCGCGATTATCATCATCGCAGATTGCACCAGCCGGGAATCGAACCCGGGTCTGTACCGTGGCAGGGTACTATTCTACCACTAGACCACTGGTGCTTGTTGTTACCTGGGCCAGCATTTTATAAATATAATTGTTAAATACTCATAAATCCAAATATCATACAACACTACTAGCTACCAATAAATACTGCATATACATAAATGTTGATATATTAGTTTATATCTATGTGAGTTGAGAAATTTTAGTACATTGATCTTGACAATACTTTTTCCAATCAACTGCCAGATCTTTGACACAGAAGAATGTCAATTAAGATATACATTTTATGTGTACAAGTAGTTTAATCCAATAAATAAATCACACTTCAAGTGTTATTGTAGAATTTAGAAAAAATAAAAATAAAAAAATTTCTCACTAGCCTACCATTTGAGAGAATGTTTGATATGAAGTCTTGATAGTATAATATATAAGATTCTAATTTTAATTTTTTCTAATACGTTTTTAATACCATGATGCACTTAATCAAATGTAGTTTAAAAGTGTTCAAGTTGTATTACATTTTGACACTTCATCTTGCTCATATATCTTTCCCAATTTTGACGCTCATCGACAAACTTATTGTTCAAGATAACATAAAGTAGAATCAATCTTAGAGATTGTTCCAATGGTCTTTTAATACTTGATTCCAAGTTTCCAAACAAAGAGGTATATCAAAGTTTGCTAGATCTACTTAAAGATGCTAAGACTCAACTGAACTTATAAGAAAGACTAAAATGATCCTTAATATTCGCCGTGATCTCTTGAGGCTCTTATCAGAAGTGTGTTAGATCAGTGCATCATCTAAATTATGTTCTCTTGAAATATCCATAAACTAAAGTTATCATCCCAAGAAAGTAGTGTAAAACCAATGTATGCTCACTTCAATTTTAATTGGATTGAATGTTCATCAAATTTTAAAAGATTTCTCAATGCTTACCTATCTATCTAACATATTTCTCATACCGCCACTCATCAAGAATTCAGTGTTACCACTTGACAAAAAAGTTAATGTGGCAGACAGGAATCCATGGTGGTTCGTCCACCTAAGACAAGACAACCCACTTCAAAAACACAACTTTGAATGGACAAAAGAAAACTCAAGTTAGCAAAATTCCAAATCAGATATCACTTTCCTTTCCTACCCTTCTCCATCGTAACCCACTGTAAATCCGACCAAAATCCAAAGTTTGCTGTGGCATGGCTAGGAATGACTTTGACCCAATAACTTGTTTCTCGATAAATCGAATGTCTTCAAATTGTTCAGATTGCCAAACTTGATGAAATCTTTCCACTACTGATTATTGGAGTAGTAAAAGTGCTGATATGTCCAATACTTGCTAGTAACTTTCCACTGAACTTTTTCTCCCTTCCAAAGTTGTGTATGGCCAAATAATCAAAGCTGTGTTCTATTTATTTTTTTTAGGGGAGGGTAATTTCACGTCGTTTGCGACCAACAAGGATTTTCGTGAGCCGCATAGCCTTTTCCGTCAAGAGATGGATACAAATTCTTGTCTAGTGGTGGATGAAAAACACGTTGATGGATGGGTGAGCATAGAAAAATCTTTAAATCTGGTGAGCAAATAGTAACTTTAATGAACATTCTTCGACTTTATACCAAGAATATCTCAAAACCCTCATCTATGTTTCCCTAGTTTTAAGCACAATATAAACTTGTTTAATATAAATCGAAACCGGACACCGTACTAATAATTATAGATGGTCATAACAATCTCATAAAATTCCCATTTTGACCTAGATGCATAACGTCCCATAAAATAATTCATAATTACATTTTTCTGTGTGACACTCCCCTTCGATTCTCATATTCTATCTTAGATTGTTACTTCTAACAATGTACCCTTCTAATTTCTCTCTCTCATATAATAAAGTTAAAACAGGCCCGTGACAAACATAATTTGGAAAGCAATAGTACGGATTATTTCATATTTTCCAAAAGGAAGCAAGCAGTCAATTATAGAAATAAAACCACCAGAATGATATAATCTCAACTTTATTTGAATGAGCTCGATTCAACGAGATGAGCATTTTCGACGGATGCATCAGTAGACTACATTTAAGAACCGAAATATTACATAATAAACAGCTAAATGTCTTGATTCGCCATTACTCGATCTTACACTGTCCTGAAAATCGATCCAAGATGCAGTCAGTTCAAGGGGGATTTGAGCAAGAAAACTACAGAACTACAGATACAAAGGTCCCGCAATTATCTAGCGCTCATGAACATGATGTTGCCTCAACTCTTCGTTTTCTTTAGTTAAGGTCTCGATACGGGACTGAAGAACGTTGATCATCGCTTCGGCCCTCATCACTTCGATTTTCAGTGTTTCCCTCTCCATGGAGACATTCAAGATCCCGTTCTCCAAATCGGTGATAAATTTCAAATATCCGGGAGGCACGGATTTCTCAAGGTTAGAGGAATCGAAGGTAAGCTGGTTGACTGGATTATTTTCTTTAGGTTCTATCAAAGGAAATTCCAGAAGTGCAGGCGAATAATTTGTCGTCATCATCATTGTTGAGGGATCAAGGCTTGTAGTGGTTGAATCTTCCGATCCATTTGCATGGCTCGAGTTAGGATCATCATGCTTTGATCTTTTGCTTTGAGATAAAGAAAGTGGTTCGGGATCTTCTTCGGACCTCTCCCTCTTGCAAGCTTCAGATCTCTCCCTCTTGCAAGCAAACGAGAGACTCTGCAGCTCAATTTGATTCTCGACTTGTGGAGGAGCCATGCTAAGAGGATGAGTATCCTGTAACAAATTTTAGTGAGTTGAAATATGACTGAAAGATAGAATTCCCATAGCCGAGCCAAATTTGAAAGCATTAAGAAACGTATAATATTCCAGAAAGCTATTGACAATAGTGGAATAACTAAAGAATGAAAATATTAACAGGAGAATCTAAAATTATATACAGCGAAGAGTTTTGATATACTAACGGCAAGCAAAAGTTGCATACATAACTTTCAGTAAAAGGTATGGCTGAAAGTCACTTTCTCAGATCAATAAAGAACTAAATACTTGTGGAATGAAAATAAGCAGCAGCAACATCTCACTCCACATTTTCCAAGAAATTTAAGTCAGGAATTCATTAACTTTGGAGCCAAGCAAGAAGTCTGATAGTTGCAGCAAATTTGTCAATTTAGTTCCTTAAAGGTATTCTTGGAATCAAACACAAAAAATGACAGTTGTTTCTTATTATTTATTGACCTGAACAATATTGTTAACGGACATTTTAGGTGCCTTCCCAGAGCGCAACAGCAAAACAAAAGTGCAAAGGCGAGGCAGATTTTATCATTTCCACAAGGTCTTTTTCATTTTTCCTATCGCTGCACAATTTTCCACTCAAGCAAACAGGATCCTAACTGGAGAGAACTTAATCACTTCCGAGGTGATAGACTTTGTGGGTTGAGATCATCAAATGTCATTTTATTGTCAAAGTTCTTATCACAGAAATTAACAACCAATAAATCTAGTAAGCGGGATCAAGAAGGTATCGAAAATTTTCTCTAAGAATTTAATTCAGGGACAAGTAGAATCTCTTTATCACATGAATTATCTTGATCTTTATGTAAAATTGGTAAGTGTACACGTATGTTATGTATCAATCAAGTGAATTTTGTTTTAATGGGGGATCAATTCAATAAAAGAAATTAGGGTCGGTCTTGAATTCATTTTATTTTACCCTAGACTTGCTAGGTAAATCCATTTGATTATTCAAGAATCAGCCAATCAATTATACAGATATCAACTTCTAAATAAAGTGGTACCACACGGTCTCTTCCACAGTTAGCACACACAAGATACAACAAAGCGACTTGCTAGTAGTGTTAATAGACTGGCAAGAAATACTTTAAGCTCTCTTGCATGTATGAAGAGAATCCTGTGGTTCACTAAAACAGAGTATATGTGGTACGCATGTTCCAGCCCAAAGTAGAGGCACCTTGTCATGTTCCCCTTGTGCACTGGAAAAAGAACTAGTGACGTAGAACTTGACAGGAAAAAGGAACTCAATGGAGCTTTATATATCAAAACTTACTAAATTATGAAAATCAACAAAATCTAAAGTTAATCATACCTAATCAAATCTACATCAAACTCCACAGTTTATTATCTTTAATTCACTAGAATTATAGAAAGGTATGGCAGTGTTCTCTCAATTCTCAGAGGAGGCGACCGGTCCATAGACTCGGATGAGTCAAAACTGTAAGTCTTGTCATCCAAAGTGTTATTACCAAATTTTGAAAGTAGAGATTAAATACATTTTCTATATAGTAGTTGCAGAAAAAAATAATTATCCACTGCACTGCACTATTATTCCATGACAAAGATTTTTTTTTTTTTTTTTTTTTTTTTTGGGGGTCCTAAAACGAGTGCAAGATAATAATTCCAATAGTAGCAAAACACAATGCACAAAAACTTGGCAAATATATATTTGCAATTCAATATAGGCATAGCTCATTTGTCCTGGTTCTTATTGGTGACTCAAAAGAAACAACAATGTAGCATGGCAGAATATTTAATGACTTCATTGAATACAAAATTTTGCAACTAAAAAAGAGCGATATGCAAAAAGGAAACTACAGGATATGAACAAAAATATTGGAAATGAAGATGATACCCATTATGGAAATGATCTGTGAGGATATGCAAAAGATTGCATAACACCTACTAATCTCTCCAAAGCGGAAAAAAAAGCGACAGAAAATAAACCTGATTAAGGTGATTGCCCTCGACTTGTGCTTCATCACCATTGGGCACATCATCTTCAGCCTCTACACCAGGAATGACAAGGGCTGCATCATCATCCCATTCCTCCTCAACAAAAGGCGCATATCTATCCCCATTAGGTGGTCCTAAACCACTCTTCTGAAAGATTCTACAGAGCACAAACACATCCTTTTCCCACAGACAAAAGAAGAATTTCTTTTAAGATTCATAACTTTCAAAAAATAAAAGAAATGTGCACCAACTTTAAATTTTAAAATGACCACCCACACCTGTGCTACTCTAGCCCTTTCTAATTCTGCATCGCAAAGCCTGTACTCATGCATTACCCAATTTGTTCTCTTTCCATCAGGTGCTCGTCCACTATGGAAAACAAGGGTTTTCTTCATTCCAATAGTTTGGCATTTATGGCGCACAGGGCGATCCTTTCCAGTTGCTTTCCAGTACCCTTTACCAGTTGCACGATTCAGCCGAGACCCATTGCCATATTTTCTGTCCACAGGGCTGAAAAAGTACCATTCTAGATCTCGAGTCTTCAGGGATGCATAATCTTCATAGCAAAAACATGACTATTCATTAGAAAGATTGGAGAAGAATTACACAGACAAAAGAAAAACCATGGAAAAAGTAGAATTTGAGGTAAACCATAAGCACATGAGAATCTAATGACAAGTTAAGAACTCGGTATACAAAATTTAAATTCATATCAATACAAATGATATTCAAAGTCAACTCTTGGATCCCGAAACCCCAACTCAACACCCGCACATGTATGCCTATAAATACAGGCATTCAATATACATTTCTGTCTATTAATCCTCTCTTAAATTCCCTCTAATTTATCATTTTGATAAGAAGTTCTAAAATCTCATCTTTAGCCTATCTTATCATTTTTATCACATTCAAGTTCTAAAAATCTCTTCTTTAGCCCATCAAATCGCTATAATACTTACATATATCTACATCAATGAATCCTAAATAAATTATACACCCAAAAGCACAAAATAATCACAAATAAATAACTAAAAGAAATTCTGAAAATATTTGCACCTGAAAAAACCATGATTAACCACAAATAAAAAATAAAAACCATCTTAACCGGCCAAATAAAATCAGCAAAAATGTATATTAAATACATCTTGCTAAGTTCATATATGTGTGCAAATTTAGGTACGAAAATATGTACCAGCAAGCTCCCAGGGCTCAGATTTGTAGACATCAATTTCAGTAACAGCTTGAAATCGAAAGGGCTTCCCACATGCCTTCCTCCTCAGATAGTACGTCACCAACTCCTCATCCGTGGGATGAAATCTGAACCCCGGCGCCAAAGAAGTTGGCGGCGCCACCGTCCTCGCCGGTGCTGCACCCAACCCCACTGCCGCAACCAGCACCTCTTGTCCCATCTTGACTTTCAGATACTTTAATACCACTTAAAAATGATAAACTGAAAACCAAAACTTCAAGGGAGTATGGTGCTCCCGGGAAAAAAATCTGATACACAAAACTGAACACATAAATTAGAATCCCAGATAAGTACGAGTCAAAAAAAAAAAAAGTAAAATAATAAGTTATATAATGGTGGGTTCGACAGAAAGCTTTAAATGAAGATGGATTAGAAAGCAAGCAAAGTTTCACAAAAATAAAATGAAAACAGATGGGATTTTGGGATTTGGTTTGGCCGAGGGGTTAAGATTAGAAATGGTGAGAGTGGTGTGTGGTATGGATGCTTGCTTGACACGGAAATCGAAAAATCAAAACAAAGAAAGGGTGTGTGTTGGGGTCAGGCTTAGCTGTTTCTCATTGTTTTGTTGTTTTCTTGATAATTTTTGGGTTGGCATTTATTTTTTGTTTACTTTTACAAGAAGTCTCGCGCCTCTCTCTATCTTGGGGAAAATTGTACCATTAGTCCCCAATTTTGTAGTCTCCATGACAAGCTGATCCTTGACCTTTAAATTTACACCGGAAGTCCAAAGCCTAGCGATCTTGTAGCACTTCAAATTTATGCCATTGTGCTTCTTTGAACGTTGACTAAAAAGATCAGAGTTCCAAACTCGATCCATATTTGAGCAAGTTACCAAGTCATTTATAGACCGATGGATCGATGTTAGATCACTGGATAAGATTTTTCATTTTTTATTACTTCATTCATACACAAATCGTCTTGACTCCCTTACAGTTATTTTTTGGAAGAATTTTCACTTAAGTTAGTTATCGTGTTCTAGGCCAACTACTATCTCTTTTGATTTGTCTGATAAAACTGTTTATCAATCAATTTTAATATGGCACATTCATATCACTTTTGTTCATATTTGTCTCGATCACTCTATCTAATGAGTCGATATTTGCTCTTTAGTGCCCAAAAAAAGTACTCTGTAAGCTCGCATGAGTCTTCCCCTCTCATCAAGTGAAGGCCAACAAGGAAAGCTCACTATTATATTTTTTTTGTTCTTAGAACAATCAATGTCGTCTTGTCTTTTAGCTTTAAACGTATATGAGTTGCTCGAAATTTCTATTCGATATAACGCATTTTACCTGGTGCACATCCTGAACATGGGAGCACCCTCCACTGGAATACTCCAGAGCTTTCTCAACTAACGGAATTAGAAGCTCTGAATAGCACAAAGTTTTACCATTTTTTCGTTTTATGTATCATTTGTTCCTCTTCACTAGGAATACTTTATTGACTATTTCACCTAAAATTAGATTTTAGTTATGCAATATATATTTTAGTGACGGCATAAATAACATTATAACGTCATAAACCAATGACTAACTAATAATTTAAAAGTTCTAGATTTGAAGCTCCAAAAAGTTACTTTTAAAACAAACATATCAATATGTCAAAACTAGGTCGTTAACAATAGATGAAAACCTGATAGTTTATATAGCTTCTAATTGGTTCAAGTGCGCACTGGTCCAATTACGTAATTGAATCGGATCATGATTCAGTTCGTCGTTAATTTGATTTGCCCATATTGATCCAATCTGATCTATAGAAATGCGAAAAAGGACAAGTCATTCTTAAATTTTCAAAAATCACTCTATAATATTTAAATCTCTTTTTAAGTGATTATGCATGTCCAATTTTATGAAACTAGAATTTACCTTTTTACTAGAATGGTGTACAAAAATTTACAGCAGAACCTATTTTCAAAAGGATCGTGTGATAATCAATGGGTCTGATGGTGCAATTATAATAAAATACTAGTGATCAAGTTGCAAGTAGAAAATTTTTCAGGACTAAGAGTGAAATTTCCTCATCTACGACTAATATATATGTGAGAGAGATGTATATATATCTTCTTTGGGTGTTAGGCTATATAAGTACCTCTCCTGGTGCATAACGACTGCCATTTTTCTTTTTTCTTTTTTTTTTTCTTTTCATAATTTGACCTTTACATAATTACCCTTTTTTTGCTATTTCACTTGGTATAGAGTTTAGGTTTTTCCTTTTGTGGGGGCTTTGCTTTTACCAACACTCCAACAGTATGCCGTTAATCGATAGAAATTAATCTAATTTTTTTTCATAGTCAAAATTTATTATTTAATGGCACTAAATTCGCAACGCTAGTTTAGGTGACGCTCATATAGCATTAAATAATAAGTGAAATTAAATGACTCATTTAATTCTATCTTTCATTTAGCACTACAATGTCTGGTGTTGCAATCCCAATGAGGCTACATAGTATTACTCATTAATTTTATAATAATGATATTTAGTATCAGCAGTGCTAGGTCATCAGTTTAGGTAACTATACTTTATATGTTCAATTAAATGAATAATGTGATTTTACATTTAAATGAATCTATCATTTAATGTCATGTAATTGTTACTTAAATTAGTATTTAATAAGTGGTGATAAATAACATTACTCTTAATTTTAACTACATTTTTCATGGGACTAATAATTTTTAAATCACACATTTCATTAACTATTATCAAAATAAGTTAAAAATTCTCTTTTAATCTCAATCAAACAAGGACTATATGTAGTATTCATATAAGTTTAATTTGGATATTTGATTGGTCCTTTCATTTTGATTTGCCATGTTATGAGATTTTTTTTTTTTTTTTTTGTGAATAATATTTGCGTGTACAAATGGTGTATTATCCCTATATAATATGATATGTGATGTGTGGTAAAATGATAAATTCAATTAAATACGTAGATTTCTGAACCACTTTATTGGTCACCTCACTTTGATATCACTACAAAAAAACAGAGCTCCAGGTACGAATTTTTCGTTCCTAAAGCCTCAATATCCATTACTAATAATTTTTACCAACGGAATATTTGCAACCACAAATCCCTTGGTAATTTGAGGGTCGCTGATAATTACCAATAGATCGTGTCGTAGGTAAAGAGGAAACATTTTATCAACGAATTTTCTGTTGGTAAAGTGTGAATCTTTTAACAAAATCGACTTTCCGTTGGTAAATGTCTAACATTACAATTGGTGAAAATCAATGCTGTAAATAACTGTATGGTAAAAAAACTATTTATTTATTATTATTATTTAATAATTATAATTTTTTTTAAAAATTTTTTTTAGAAATGCCAAAATATTGTTTAACTCCTTATTGGACCACAAATTTATATAGGGCAATCACAAAGATATTGTTGTAAACTTTCGATATAAGATAGGTTAATTATTTTTACCAACGGAATATCCGTTGCTGAAAGATCAAAATGTTAAACAGTTATATTAGGCATGAAATATCCGTTGGTAAAGAGATATCATTTTTATTAACGGATAATCCGTTTCTAATTACCAACGGAATATCCGTAGGTAAAAGATCAAAATGTCAAACAGTTATATTAGGCACGGAATATCAGTTGGTAAAGAGATATCATTTTTACCAACGAAAAATCTGTTGCTGATTATTGTAGCTACAATTTAATTACTTTTACCAACGGATAATTCGTTTCTAATTACCAACGGATACCAATGGATGCAATCCGTTGGTAATATTCGATACATCACCTACGGAATATCCGTTGGAGGAAGATCTAAATGTTAAACGGTTACATTAGGTATGGAATATCGGTTAGTAAAGAGATATCATCTTTACTAACGAAAAATTCGTTGCTAATTATCATAGCTAAAAGTGAATTACTTTTACTAACGAATAATCCGTTTCTAATCACCAACGGATGCAATCCGTTGATAATTTTCCGTAGGTGAAAAACTGTTTTTTAGTAGTGTATCATCCCAAGTTTGTATCATAACATTATTTTAAAAAGAAAAAATATTTCTACAAATGGTTCCTTGTCGCAACAAAGCCTAAATAGAAAATAAATTTGAATAATTTGTATTTGAGAATATATAAATATAACATATAGTAATAAGTTTGATTGTAGTAAAAATTGATAAACAAAATTTTGAATCAAAGAGATAAACGTTTATGACTGGTGCTTAATGGCATAGAATCGCTAAGCTATGTAGCATTCATTTAGTCCTTATTTGAGCCACATTATTAGAATGAAAATACATTTTTGAATAGTATATTGATGCAAAATGTGTGGTTAAAAAATAAAGAAATATTTTGAATTTGCGTGTAATATTATTTTATTAAAGAATGTGTGATTGAAATGACATTAAATCACTGTTGAAAAATATTTTTTTTTTTCAAATAATGTCTCAAACAAGGCCTTACTTTTACATTTCTAATTATAGTGAGTGTCCCGTAAGTAATTTTAAATGTGCATGCATTATCATGTTTATTCATTGACCTAGTAACATATCACATGCAAAACATGACTAATCTAATGCGTGCATACAAATTTTTTTCTTCATATAGATAGAGGAGAACTCCAAAATGAATTCGTATATGACTTGTGTCATTTGTCACACGTGAATTGTACATATATATATATATATGTGTGTGTGTGTAAATACAAAATTAAAATCATATGTGTGTATTACTTTTCTAGTTAATATTGCATATCAATCAACCCTCATTTTCATTGAAAAATCTTTCCAAAACTATGTTCATGGACATCCCTTTTCTCAAATAATAATGAATAAAATCTTTCTTATTTTCTTAAATTTTTAATAGTNAGAAATTGAGACAACCGTTTGAATAGGTGTGTCCCTTGAAATCCTTGCATACATCCGTTGCACAGCGGCAAACACTAGTTCGGACAGCAAATCATTCGCAAAACAAAAAATAAATACATTCAAAATGATGAAAAATATCTAACAAATTTTACGAGTTCTATTACGTTACTCTATTTAAGAGATTCAATGATCACGATATTTATTTTAAATAAATTAAATCGATAAACTTGACGTTATAAACTTTATCACTTACATTTTCCAAGCGTGCAAATGGAGATATGCATGAATGTGAACAACACTTTGTATATCATAAAATGTATAATGGTCCAATTTGAAAGTTCTATATGAGTCCTTGCTTCTTTAAACTATTTATCGACCACACGTATAACTTAGAAAGACAAAAGGAAAATGCTAATGACTACGGTTGTAAAATTATTCTAAACAAGTAAATAATATTATCAAAGTATATCTCTCTTTTTTTTTTCTTTCTTTTTTTTCTTTTTTTTAGCTTGTGCAAGTAAGAGGTGAATATAAATGTAAAACTTATATATAGCAAATTATAATAATCTTTTATCGTAAATAAAATTGAAATTAAATAAACGCGTCAAAGTGTTAGGGATAAAAGATTTGAATTATATAAATTAGAAAGACAAAAGGAAAATGCTAATGACTACGGTTGTAAAATTATTCTAAACAAGTAAATAATATTATCAAAGTATATCGCTTTTTTTTTTC